TTCACTAGGAAGGCCGGCGAATTGATCTTTCATAACAAGATTCAGCAAAGCAGCATTGATTTCACAAGACTCAACATCATTAAGAGGAGCAATCGGAGTACTAAGGAAATCATTATTATTGGTATTCGAGAAATCACACAGGTAATCCAACACACAAGCAAACAGAAAAAACGGCAAGCAAAAAGAGAGGAGGAGATTGGGAAAGAGAGGGCGAATAAAACGACAAGGGTGAAGTGGGGGAGTGGAAAACGAGAGGCAAATGGCAAATAATGTAAATGCGAGGGAGATGGGTTTGTGGTGGGTACTTGGTATGTCTTGACTTGAGCGAAGACCTCCCCGGCAACGGCGCCAGAAATCCTTCTTGCTACGTCTTGAGCTAGCGTTGGTTTTCCCCGAAGAGGAGAGGGTGATGCAGCAAGTGTAGCGTAAGTATTTCCCTCAGTTTTGAGAACCAAGGTATCAATCCAGTAGGAGGCTCCTCAAAAGTCCCACGCACCTACACAAACAAACTGAGAACTCGCAACCGACGCATAAAGGGGTTGTCAATCCCTTCACAGCCACTTGCGAAAGTGAGATCTGATAGAGATAGTATGATAAGATAAATATATTTTTGGTATTTTATAATATAGATGCAAAAAGTAAAGATGCAAATAAAAGTAGATTGAAAGCAAATATGATAAGAGATAGACCCGGGGGCCATAGGTTTCACTAGAGGCTTCTCTCAAGATAGCATAAGTATTACGGCGGGTGAACAAATTACTATCGAGCAATTGATAGAAAAGCGAATAATTATGAGATTATCTAGGCATGATCATGTATATAGGCATCACGTCCATAACAAGTAGACCGACTCCTGCCTGCATCTACTACTATTACTCCACACATCGACCGACTCCTGCCTGCATCTAGAGTATTAAGTTCATAAGAACAGAGTAACGCATTAAGCAAGATGACATGATGTAGAGGGATAAACTCATGCAATATGATATAAACCCCATCTTGTTATCCTCGATGGCAACAATACAATACGTGTCTTGCAACCCTTTCTGTCACTGGGTAAGAACACCGCAAGATGGAACCCAAAGCTAAGCACTTCTCCCATGGCAAGAAAGACCAGTCTAGTAGGCCAAACCAAACTGATAATTCGAAGAGACTTGCAAAGATAACTCAATCATGCATAAAAGAATTCAGAGGAGATTCAAATATTATTCATAGATAAACTTGATCATAAACCCACAATTCATCGGATCTCGACAAACACACCGCGAAAGAGATTACATCGAATAGATCTCCACAAGAGAGGGGGAGAACATTGTATTGAGATCCAAAAAGAGAGAAGAAGCCATCTAGCTAATAACTATGGACCCGTAGGTCTGTGGTAAACTACTCACAACTCATCGGAGGGGCAAGGATGTTGATGTAGAAGCCCTCCGTGGTCGATTCCCCCTCCGGCAGAGTGCCGGCGAATGCTCCAAGATGGGATCTCGCAGATACAGAAGGTTACGGCGGTGGAAATTGTGTTTTGTGGTGCTCCTGGATGTTTTCGAGGTACGTAGGTATATATAGGAGGAAGAAGTACGTCGGTGGCCGCCCGAGGGGCCCACGAGACAAGGGGCGCGCCCTACAGGGGGGGGGGGCGGCCTCCTATCTCGTGGCTTCCTCGGCAGCTTCTTGACTTGCACTCCAAGCTCTCCAGAAGGTTTCATTCCGTTTGGACTCCGTTTGATATTCCTTTTCTTCGAAATACTGAAATAGGCAAAAAAAACAACAATATGGGCTGGGCCTCAGGTTAGTAGGTTAGTCCCAAAAATGGTATAAATGCGTAAAATAAAACCCATAAACGTCAAAAGGGGTAATATAATAGCATGGAACAATAAAAAATTATAGATACGTTGGAGACGTATCAAACGTCTACTAGTGTGAGGGAGTATTTGGTACTACTAGTAGTAAGTGTTGAGTTTCCAATCAAAGCTTTTATTATATGCCTAAAATACAGTCTGCTTAGCCGCTGACAGTGGCATTTATGCAGAGCAAGCATTTGTGTTTCTGTTACTTGTAAAGTGGTGATCAACTTGGGAGTTTGCAAGATATATTCAACATCTGTGGTGGAGCTGTTTTTTGCTACTTGTAAATGCCATATATGTGGTAGATAGGAGGTATCAGATATATTCGACACTTATCTGACACCAATTCCTGAACTAAATTTTACACTACTTAAATATGAAATATGTGGACCAACTGATTTACTGAATGTTGTAGATGGATGGTCCAGGAGAAAATGTGATTATTCTCTAAAAGGTGCGGTGATTTCTTCTTTTTCTAAGAGATGGACCAAATGTGGTGGTTGGGACCCTGCATGATTCTCAAGGCTCTGTTAATTGATGTGCTTCAGCAACAAGCGTGATATGCCATCGTAAGTTTTATTGAGAGAATCCTGTTTTGACTTTTGCAAGGTACTCCCTCTATAAAGATATATGCCATCGTAAGTTTTATTGAGAGAAGTCTATGCCGCTCGACAAAGCGCCGGGGCCGGATGGATTCACGGGCCGGTTTTATGCTGCGTGCTGGAGCATTATTCGTCAGGATTTCATGCGGACTTTGGGAGCATTTTACCAGGCGGACATGAGAGGTTTGGCAGTGCTCAACAAGGCAATTGTGACCCTGCTGCCAAAGAAGGAAGGAGCCGTGGATATCAAGGACTTTAGGCCAGTTAGTTTGGTGCACAGGGTGATCAAAATCTTCGACAAAGTCTTGGCTTCACGTCTTGCCGCCGAGCTACCACTCCTTGTAGGAAATCACCAAAGTGCTTTCGTCAAGGGACGATCAATTCAAGACAATTTCATGCTGGTTCAATGCACTGCGCGACGTCTCCATGCCCTTCGAGAGCCGGCAGTTATGCTCAAACTAGATATCTCAAAGGCTTTCGACTCGGTGCAATGGCCATTCTTAGTGGAAGTGCTTACTGCCATGGGCTTTGGCGCTCGTTGGGTGGACTGGATCTGTGGGCTGCTTGTGTCTTCATCCACTAGAATCATGGTAAATGGGACGCCAGGAAGACCAATCTCAAATCAGATGGGCTGAGGCAGGGCGATCCAATATCTCCTATGCTCTTTATCATGATCATGGAGCTGTTGCATCACATGTTTGAGCTTGCGGCTTCGAGGGGCATGCTTGCTCCCCTAGCGCGATCCGGGATGAAGCATCGGCTCTCAATGTTCGCCGATGACGTGGTTTTCTTCACCAAACCAAACAAGCTTGATCTTCGCACTTGTGCGCTGCTGCTTCAAACTTTCGGAGAAGCCTCGGGGCTCAAGTTAAACCTCGGAAAAACAGCAGCATTCCTGATTGGACGCACGACTGAAACGATGGAAATGGTGGAACGGACCTTTGGCTGCCCTAGAGGATCCTTCCCTTGCAAGTATTTGGGGCTGCCCCTCACCCTCAGAAAGCAGTCCGCAGTGCAACTTTCTTATCTTGTGGATCAATTAGCGGATGCGCTGCCCAAGTGGAAGGCATCTAAGGTGCCCAAGAGTGGAAGATTATTGCTGATTCAATTGGTCCTATGTGCAATGCCGCTGCACGATGCTTGCTCTTGATCTGCCAAAGAAAACAATAGCTGCGTTGAACAAAATCTGCCGTGGTTTTCTGTGGGCTGCGGGTGCATCTGCGCATGGTGGAAGTTGGGCTGTAGCTTGGGAAAGAGTTTGCTCGCCAAAGTGGGCGGGAGGACTTGGCATCCCGAATCTGCAGTGGCTGAATGTTGCCCTGCAAGCACGCTGGCCATGGTTGCAGCAGTTCGACAAGGAACGCCCTCGGCAGAATTCCAAATCCAAGTTCCGAATGTTGCACGTCAGTTAGCTCTCTCTGCGATGAGGCCAGTTGTGGGCAGTGGCCAGAGCATAAGGTTTTGGGAAGATCGATGGCTTGATGGGTTCCGTGTCGCTGATATTGCCCCCAACATCTATGCCCGCGTGCGGCCCCGAACGAGGAAAACCTGTTCGGTTGCCACCACACTTCATGAGAATGCCTGGGCGAGGGACGTGAACCCGGAGCTAAGCCTTGCGGCATTGGATGAATACCTCGCATTATGGACGAGGGTTGCCGGCATGGCACTGGATCAGACGAGGCAGGATGATATGGTTTGGTCCTGGGAGACGAACGACATATACTCAGCGCGATCAGCTTACGCGGCAAAGTTTTGGGGAAGGGAGGTGGATCAAACAGCTGAATTTACATGGAAAGCTAGGGCGCCGCTGCGTTGCCGTTTCTTTGTGTGGCTTGCTACGCAGAATAGAGGCTGGACCTCTGATCGTCTGGCGAGGGGAGGCCTTGACCACCAAGATAGTTGCCCGCTGTGCAACTAGGAGGAGGAGAGCATCGATCACCTTTTCATCCGGTGCGTTTTTGCCAGACAGATTTGGGCTGCGATCTTCCAAGACATGGACAAACCCGGCTGGATGCCCACGATGAGCGACACACTCGCTGCTTGGTGCGCGGCACAGAACTCAAATGAGACCCATAAGAGAGTGCTCAATGCTTTTCGTGTCTTAGCCATGTGGGAGATTTGGAAGCATCGCAATGCAATTGTTTTTTAGGGTGCTTCTCCATCTATACCACATGTGCTTCTCCATCTGTATGTTCTTTCAGCATTGTTAAACCCGTTTGCTAGCTATGTAGTATAAAATATATAGTCCCTCCGTTTTAAAATAAGTGCGGCTGATTTAGTACAAAGTCGGGGAGTATAATAATGCAGCAAATCTGGATGTTGTTTAAAATTACAGATCATGTCAAAGCAGTACAAATGTTACACAATGCATTCTAAGTAGTAGTACGTTTTAGAGGGGCATTCTCTCCCTCTCTCTAAAAAAAGAAAAAAGAAAAGAAGAGACCAGACACCAGAGCAGACCACGCAAATCCTCTCGCACTCGCACCAGGCCGGCTTTCCTCATCCCTCGCCGGCCGCCGCTGCCAAATCTCGCCGGCCTCTCCGCCGCCGCGCCATGCTCCGCCTACGGTGCTCCATCCTCACCCACCTCCTCTCATCTCGTCCACCCACCTCCCCCGTATCCCCTCTCCACCGCCTCCTCTCTGCGGCCGTCTCCCCCAACCCTGCCTCCGCCTTCGCCGTCGACGACTACCTCGTCCGTACCTGCGGCCTCACCCGAGCACAGGCCCTCAAGGCCTCCGCCAAGCTCTCCCACCTCAAGTCCCCTTCCAAGCCCGACGCCGTCCTCGCCTTCCTCGCCGGCCTCGGCCTCTCCGCCGCCGATGTCGCTGCCGTGGTTGCCAAGGACCCGCAGCTCCTCTGCGCCAAAGTGGAGGAAACCCTGGTCCCCAATGTCGCGGAGCTCACCGGCCTGGATCTCTCGCCTTCTGAGATCGCACGCCTCCTCTCGCTTGGCCCCGACAGATTCCGTTGTAGATCCATCGTCTCCAAGCTGCAGTACTGCTTGCCCCTCTTCGGCTCCTCCGAGAACCTCTTTCGAGCCCTCAAGAGTGGCTCCGTTCTCTCCTCCGACCACGAGCGGGTGGTCAAGCCCAATGTCGCCTTCCTGCGGGAGTGCGGGCTAGGTGCTTGTGATATTGTCAAGCTCTACGTACTTACACCATCGCCGCTCAACATCAGCACGGAACGCCTCCGGACAGCAGTGGCATGTGTTGAAGGTCTTGGTGTATCCCGTGGATCTCCGATGTTCAGACATGCACTACAAGCTGTTGCATTCCTCAACGAGGAGAAAATCACCACCAAGGTAGAGCACTTGAAGGAAACATTCAGGTGGTCGGATGCCGAGGTGGGCATTGCTGTTTCTAAGGCTCCATCGCTGCTGACGAAGAATAAGGAATCGCTGCAGCGCAGGTCCGAGTTCCTCATCTCTGAGCTGGGGTTGGAACCGGCATACGTTGCTTATCGTCCGGCAATGCTCACTTACAGCTTGGAGGGCCGGATCAGACCCCGGTACTATGTCGTAAAGTTTCTCAAGGAAAATGGATTGCTCAAGCGTGACCCTAGCTACTTTACCGTTTTCAAGGAGTCCGAGAAGGCATTCAAGAAGATGTTCATACACCCTCATAAGGAAGCTGCACCACACCTTGAAAAAGACTACGATGCTGCTTGCAAAGGGGAGGTGCCCACTAATTTCAGATTCACATAAGCCAAGGACGTGCTCTGATGTAACTGTGTGCTGGTTGTCCGCTGCTGTATGTCTGTTAGATGCTGGGTTGGTGGTTGTTAACGAGTGATGAAGCTGATAATTTGATCCCTGAATACTGATATGTAATGTCACCACTCAGCCGAGAAGAAACCATGGATTGGTTATGAACTTTTTCGTCCTCATTCATGTTTTAAACACATGTAATGGAACTAAGTAAGTGTGAGATCAGGCCATGGAGGAGGGCTCACTTGTACAGGTTATCTGCTAAACATCGAACTCTCACATCGAGGAGGGTTGGCATCATTTAAGTTTAAGTAAGTAAACCTACATGACCCTGTTCCTTTTTATATGCCAGTAATGTTACCAAGACAATGGAGAAGCACTTGCCGCTAGTAAACTTAGGTGTATTATCCTGCTCTGCACGATTGCCATATTTTTTTTTTTTTGAAATGGCCATAAATTATGTGCTTATTGTGGATGGCAGCTTAAGATTTTTGGTTCATTATTGTGTTTTGGTCCTGTGGGTAATTCTTTGTGCCAAGCACCACCAGAAGGTTCACTAGCAGCTAGGGAGTGTTTCTTACTTCTATGTCTGAGCTAGCTCTTCTTTAGTTTGGCTAAAACTGAATGATTAATTTATTGCTTTGGTTGGTGTGATCGTGAATATAGTCCCCAAACAGTTGGTATCATGTACATCCATACTCTGAATACATGGTCTGAATTTCTGCAGAGACTGCAGGTTCTGAATTACTTGCCTGTGTGTTCATGCATCTGCACCAAACAGTTGGTATTCTTGTTTGTACGAAAAGCTGCACATAATATGCTAGCTTTTGGGGGCACACTACTTCCAACTGGCAACATAATCTGTACCTGAATTAGTTTCTGCCATCTTGGGTGTTCATCTGGATAAAGATATCATTGAAGTTCAGTGACGGATAGTAAAATTTGATACTTGTGTCTGTATGATTTTCGCAAGGGAAAATTAAGGTTTTGAACTATGTTTGATCTGAAAAGACAAAGAATTTCAGTACTTTATTTAACTTCCAAAGTAACTGCCAAAGCATGCTAGAATTATTTTAACTTCTAGTTGTCAAGTAGATAAGTTGTAGTTATCATGATCTGGTATTTTCTTTGTAACAAAGAAAGCATTGCATGCTGTCTGTACTTAAACCTTTCATATGTCCACTTATCTCAAGATTAGGTGTTTGCTACATGTCATTTTGCCCTGTTAATGCTCTGCTTATTTTACTTGTCGATGCAGGGTTATGGAAAGGCTCCTGGGTGTAAGAATTACTTTTGTTGGAGATGGACGTTAAAGGTATATTATTATTCAACTGTTGAACTATTTTTTATTTTCAGCAAGACACAAACCTGTTGAGGTTTTTACAGTGATTTTTCTTCTTAGGTTTCATCAAGATTTTGTTGCCTTGTTGGGAATGATAAATGGATATTTTGTGGTGCTCCATGCAGTAAATGTGTAAGCCCTCAGATCAACACCCAGATTGGCACGCCAACCCCGCATAAACTGGCGAGAGATCTTAGAGCAATGATGTCAGATATCTGGAGCACAGAATACCCGCGGCGGGTTGGCTGCCACTTGAACCCAACAATACCTTACCATTTCAAAGAACCCCGGCTGTAGCAGCCATGACGGTTCGAAATGGAACCGCCTGGACCGCGGAGGGGGAGTCATGGTTCGAAATGGAACCGCCTGGACCGCGGAGGGGGCCCTTCCCCTGACGAGAAAAACATGGGAACATGATCAGAACCAATCGTAGTGACCAGCCTCAGAGAGCACAGTGGGAACATAATCTTCCACTGGATAGATACCAGGATCCGATCCAGCACACCCCGGATAGGGTCCATCTGTTTGTTGGTCCATGTGAATCTAGCCCCTACAGGGCTATCTCACGTAGGGCCATATCCGCTATGCAATTATTGAACATGCGCATCCGGAGCTGGTCGATATTAGTAGAGCTCTTCTCAGCCTCCTGCGGATAAGGTTGAAATCCCGAGCGACTACGATCGACGTAGTGCAGCGTTCTACCTTATCTTTCAGCTGTCCAAGAAGTCCACCGACCGCCCATGATCAGCCGGGCCATAGACAATGATTACCTTCCAGGTGAGGTTCACACGTCGATCGGTAATGGACATACTGAGGAAAAATTCCACTCGCTCCATATCCTCAACCGAGATAGAGTAGTGTCAAAAACGTCTTACATCATTATATAGAGCAGTTATATACTTACTAACGTACCTAGCATTTGGTGCGAGTAATAGATCCATGCCAATCGGTCGACGTAATCACTTGCGTATGTCCTTCATACCACGACACCAATTCAAAGACGTGGTCAGTATGTTTGCCCTATAAATAATGTATGGTAAAGATCGGCAGAGCCATGCCAAGCCAACGCATAGCATCATCATCAGCAATAGGAACACTAGCTACTGTCCACAATAGCCCATAGTCGTCTCCGCCGGAAATGGGTTCTTCTCCAGCACCGGCGGGCGAGAGAGCACACGCCGTGTGCCTGCCGGCGGCCGCGCAGGGGCACATCATCCCCATGCTCGACGTGGCCAAGATGCTCCACGCCCGCGGCTTTCACGTCACCTTCGTCAACACCGAGTACAACCATGCACGGCTCGTCCGCGCGCGGGGTGCGGCAGCGGTGGTCGGCGTCCCGGGGTTCCGCTTCGCCACCATCCCTGACGGCTTGCCGCCGTCGGACGGCGACGTCACGTAGGACGTCACGTCGCTGTGTAAGTCCCTCACGGAGACTTGCCTCGGGCCCTTCCGCCGCCTCCTCGCGGAGCTCAATGACCCCGCCACGGGCGTGGCCTGCGTCGTCGCCGACATCATTATGGACTTCTCCATGGAAGCGGCCGGGGAGCTCGGCGTCCCCTATGTCCAGTTCTGGACGTCCAGTGCCGTCAGCTACGTCGGTGTCCGCCAGTACCGTCTCCTCTTCGAAACGTGGCCTCGCACCGATCAAAGATGTCAAGCAGCTGACAAACGAGTATCTTGACACGCCGGTGGAAGACGTGCCGGGCCTGCGGAACATGAGGTTCAGGGACTTCCCGACCTTCATACGCAGCCCGATCTCGGATGACTACATGCTGCATTTCGCGCTCGGCATTGCAGAGCGCGCGGTCGGCGCGTCGGCGATGATCGTCAATACCTTCGACGACCTTGAGGGAGAGGCGGTGGCGGCCATGGAGGCGCTCGGCCTGCCCAAGGTCTACACCATCGGCCCGCTCCCGCTACTCGTGCCGAGCTTAGACATCAGCATGAGCTTGTGGAAGCAGGAGGAGGAGTGCCTGCGGTGGCTCGACGACAAGAAGCCCGACTCGGTCGTGTACGTCAACTTTGGCAGCATCACCGTCATGACCAACGAGCAGCTGGTAGAGTTTGCCTGGGGGCTGGCCAAGAGCGGCAAACATTTCCTTTGGATCACCCGGCCCGACCTCGTCAAGGGCGACACTGCAGTGCTCCCCCCCAGAATTCTCGGTCGAGACGGCGGAGCGTGGGCTCGTGGCCTCCTGGTGCCTGCAGCAGCAGGTGCTGAACCACCCGGCCGTCGACTCGACGATGGAGAGCATGTGCGGTGGCGTTCCTATCATCAGCTGGCCATTCTTCGCGAACCAGCAGACCAACTGCCGGTACCAGTGCAACGAATGGGGAGTCGGCATGGAGATCGACACCGACGTCCGGTGCGACGCCGTTGCAAACCTTATCATGGAGCTCATGGAGGGGGAGAATGAAAAGGTGATGAAGAAGAAGGCACAGGAGTGGAGGGAGAAAGCGGTCAAGGCGACCAAGCCCGGCGGCTCGTCTCACGACAACTTTGATGCGCTGATTCGTGATGTGCTAGCTCCTAGCCGCCATGGGCATAACTTTGATGCGTATTTATTTTAATAAGTTATTAAAGAAATAATAGTGCGCTGATTCTAAACCGGTACCTCGCACATGGACGAAACGACCACTTACCACCGCGCCAAGGCATGTGAAGTACTCTCTCCTTTTTAAAATAAGTCTCTTTCATTTTAAAATAAGTGTCACAAATTTAGTACAATTTTAGCAAATAATTGTACTAAGTCAGCGACACTTTTTTTGTTGCGGAAAAGCTACACTTTTTTGGGGATAGAGGGAGTAGTAATGATAGCATATACACCTTATTTGAACATATTCAAAAGCTAGAAACCAGTCGGTTTTCATAAATACTAAACGGTAAAAATATTTTTTTGCGGGTAACGGTAAAAATAACTTGACATGCTCACATTTGACCTGTGTTTGAAAGGTGTAGAAGTCTTGCTCAACATCTGATTTGTGTTTAAGAAGATGAATTCATGAAAATCAGTTAGTATCATCCGCATTGCCACCATAATACTTGTAGCCAGTGGAGGATGCAAGAAGAGGACCTATGGATTGACCCAAACTTGTGGGCATGCACATGATGCAAAGGCATGGTAAGCATGCTGTCATAAGACCCATGTCGCCCAACCATCGCCAGCTTACTTTCCCTGAGGTTGATGTCGGAGAGGCAATGCAGCGATGAAGTCGCGCCTGCGCTAATGCAACAGTGAACCTGGAATCCAAAGAGGCCCAAGACTCTCTCTCTCTCTCTCTCTCTCTCTCTCTCTCTCTCTCTTGCGGCAAAGATCCTGTATCTTACTCCCTTCGTTCCAAAATAGATAACCTAATTTTGTACTAACTTTAATTTTAATACAAAGTTAGTGCAAAGTTGGTTCATCTATTTTGAAACAGAGGCAGTCTGTATAGTTGATCCCTACTACTTCCATTTATCTTTTACATGTACACGTGCTATCTCATCAAGGAGCATGGGAATAAAATAACAAGGAGAAAACAAGGCCACTGGAGGAGCTAGTATCAAAGATTAGTCACCGGGCCTCAGAGTCGCTGCAATTTTGTCTTAGTCAGACGGTTTGGTAGCAGGCCAAAGGGTGAGATACTAAAAGTTAAAGGCCTCTTTGATTCGTAGGATTTTCAAAACGTAGGAATATGAGAAGTATAGGGTTGAAGTGGCAATGCTCACTTGAATCCTATACGATTAGCAATGAGTGTTTGATGCCATAGGAAAAACAAAGGAATTGTAAATATTATCCAAGTGGAGTCCGATGGGCAGAGTTTAGTCAGAGCCTGAAATCCACTGAGTATGATCTCACACCGGAAGGAATCCTGTTTAGAGAAATCTAGTTGCTTTTCCTTTGCACCTCGTGAATGTAATAAATTACCCCATGCATTAGCTGCATTCGGGTCTAGATTGCCTGCTGCTGGATAGCGATGGGCTGAGGACTTACCTGACAATGTAAACATCCTTGAGGGCCAGCCGGAGCGCTGAGCGAGTGTGATGTATGGAATCATTGTGTTCCATTAAAAAACAAAAAGGGACCATCTCAATTCTCAACATGCATGAGGGAGAAACATTTTTTTAGATGGGAAAAAACATTATTAGTTGATCCCCACAAATTTTGATTATCTCAAGATGTACATATGCCAAATGCATGACACCTCATCATAGCCCCACAACAATGTGCATGGAATTTTTATATTATATTATATACTTATATTTAATTTAAAAATTAACTATAAAATAATCAAATACAATATATGATATGCATTTTCAATTTTAGTTCATACCCCCTCCATCCCATAATATAAGATGTTATTGCATCCAATACGTGAGTAAATCAGATGCAATAACGTCTTATTATGGAATGGAAGGATTATATTATGAATTCAAGTATTTATGTTTCATACAATCAACTCTAATTAAAAATATTCCAATCAATTTTTGCAGCAACACGCGGGGTGTCATCTAGTTACTCCAAAAGGTAGTTGACCCTTTAAAAGAGGTCGGCCAGGAGCTGAGGACAGGCCGGCTATGCGCTGAAAGGCAGTGAAGATGTTGAAAAAAATCAGAGCATGTATCGGCAAACAGCGCACACGGTTCTGTATCGGCAAATGGCGACCTCAATCTTGATGATGCCCATAGGTCAGCCTGTCTGGTTTGGGGTCTTCATCAATATTAAGTTCTTTTTGCGGGGGCATCAATTTAAGGTTAAGTAGTTGTTCAGATGAAGTTCAAGCAATGATGGAATATAGCTGCAAGAGGCGTCTAAAACGAAAATGCCTAGGAATCACATATATGCTAAATAGAATTATTTGTACATTTTTAGCAACAACCAAGTTCAACATGAATGGTGGCTATGTACAATGATCAAAAGTTGCGAACAAAGCGAATATCCATTCCTGAGCCCAGTCTCATCTGCACCCGGTGAAGAGAAAATTCACAAAAAATACAAAACAAAATGAAAATTCCATTTTTCTGGCATGGAAGATAATTCGGTGCGCTCTAAATTTCAGATCATTTGGATATATGAGTAACTCTCAGCAAAAAAGACAAATTGGGTCAGAACAATACATGAACATAAAACCTTTCACAGATCTCAATTTTGTCTTTTTTGCCGGGAGCTACTCAATTGTCCAAATGAACTAAAATTTGGAGCGCATCTCACACACCAAAACACGATTGTTTTTTTGATTTTTATTGTTTTTTTCTATTTTCTGTTCATCCTGGGTGTAGCTGAGCTTGGGCACCGAATTGCATCGTCCCAAACAAAGTGCGTATCTAGAATAACTCGATTTGTTTTATGAAAAACCTCATCGTGAGGGCAAGGGTTCTTGCGTTGCATTAAGAAGAAAAGAGATGGTCCAGTATATATGAACAGAATATTGAAAATGAAGAAATCTTTCCAAAGCTTCAAACATTTTTGTGAAGCATGAACATTTTTTTGTAAAATGTGAACAATTTATGAAACGTCGTACAATTTTTGAAAAATGCAAAAAAGAAAATTAAAATAAATGCAAACAAAATTTGAACATTTCAACAATTTTCTAAATTTTACAATTAAAAGAAACAAAAAAGAAGAAAACGAAAAAAAGCAGAAAAAAATACAAACTGAAAAGGAAAAAATGTTTGGGAATCTTCTAGAATGGTCCCTAAACCAGTATAATCAAGCTAGGAAGCTCGAGAAGGTTCCCAAAACCGTAATTGCCCAGTTCGCGTACTACAGGAGATGGCCGGCCCAATTGATCGCGCACCTGTGCGTTTCGTCGACCATGGATGAATAGGGTTTTCCTCGATGCAGAGAGCATCAAATATTATTTCCGGACTCATGCTTCCTGTGTCTCTCACGTGCCATCTGATCTGGGCTGGCCTGGAGGATATTCACCGCCAGGGCCGGTCCTGAGATTTTGGGGGCCCGGGGCGAAACTAAAACTAGGGGCCCTTAGTAGAAACAATAAATAATAGTAATGAATTTATACATATATACTTGTCAAGTAATTATACATATTACCTTTCAAAAGTAATCATTGCCCGATGCAAATTCACTTATGACGAGGTTGAATTCAATCTCTTCCAATAATTTCTTCTCGACACATATTGTTGCCAAACCATTTGAATTTATGATTCATTATTGACCTCTCAACAATTTTAAATCTGAAAATCTAGTGTCAGCCGATGTGACAGTCACAAGCACTGTAAATAAGATGTTATATACAACAGAGACATTAGGATAACAATCAAATTCTGTGACATGGTAAAAAATATTCATAGAATTACACCGTCCAGCAAAGTGAATTTCACAATTTTAACTCACAAAAGGGTAAGACTGAATGTTCATCAAAACTAGCAGATTGTGCGTGTGCCCCTAATGAAAAAACTGTACTCTTAGGACCACTTACATTATTTTCACTTGTATTGATGCCAACAGTTATCTCTTCCTCAGATTAAGAATTTCCTTTAATATGCTTCTCTTCCTCCACAACAACTATCACCAACTTATTATTTGGGTACGTCGAAGCACTAGTACTGCTCTTGAAAAATTATTAATAGCTTCTCTTTGTGATTGTATCGGTTAATCCACACATTGTATTCACTTTTCACCATAGTGAAAATATATGCGAGGGGATAAATTACTTATAATCAGTAATATACGTACAGAGAGTAGGCATTAGGGAACGGCAACATACCTGGGATTGCGCGATGTGTACTGGTTCGCGTCTAGATCTAGAGTTCGACGAAGCAGCTTGTCCAGCGTCTGAAGGCAGGAGAGCAGAGCGCTGTTGTGTACTAGGTACCGGCTAGAGTCTCGCGATCCAGGAATAGAAATTCACGAGAGGACGAACTGGCGATCGGAATTAGGAGAAAACGAGCTAAAGAAAACGAACGGCGCAGAATTAGAGGACTGGTACGTGATGGAATAGGAAGGAATCGATTTCACCGAAACAAAAGGAATAGAGTCTGCCGGCGTCCACGCCTGGTTGCCTTTCTAGCCACGGCCCACGACCCATAGATTTTTTTCGCACTAGCCCAGAGGCCTTGTACTGGAGAGGGGCCCCTCGATTATGGGGGCCCGGGGTGGCCGCCCCCCCTGCCCCCCTTCAGGGCCGGGCCTGTGTCCAGCTGTGGGCAACCAGCGCCGCCAGCTTTGTCGCTCTCCGGCACTGCCGCCTCCTCTTCGACCGTGGCCTCGCACCAATCAAGGACTTCAAGCAGCTGACGAACGAGTACCTTGACACGCCAGTGGAAGACTTGCCGGGCCTGCGTAACATGAGGTTCAGGGACTTCCCGACCTTCATACGCAGTTCGACCCCGGACGACTACATGTTGCATTTCACGCTCGGGATCATAGAGCACGCGGTCGGCGCATCGGCACTGATCATCAACACCTTCGATGATCCTCGAGGGAGAGGCGGTGGCGGCCATGGAGGCGCTCGGCCTGCCCAAGGTCTACACCATTGGCCCGCTCCCGCTGCTGGCGCCGAGCTCAAACATCAGCATGAGCTTGTGGAAGCAGGAGGAGGAGTGCCTGCCGTGGCTCGACGACAAGGAGCCTGGCTCCGTTGTGTACGTGAACTTTGGCACCACCACCATAATGACCAATGAGCAGCTGGTAGAGTTCGCCTGGGGCCTAGCCTTGAGTGGCAAGCATTTCCTCTGGATCATCCGTCCTGACCTCATCAGGGGCGACAGCGCGGTGCTCCCCCCGGAGTTCTTGGTCGAAACCGCCGAGTGTGGTCTCATTGCCCCATGGTGCCCACAACAGCAGGTGTTAAATCACCCGGCAGTGGGCGTGTTCCTGACACATTGCGGCTGGAACTCAACACTGGATAGCATGTGCGGCGGCGTGCCCGTCATCAGCTGGCCATTCTTCGCGGACCACCAGACCATCTGCCGGTACCAATGCACTGAATGGGGCATTGGCATGGAGATCGACAACAATGTTCGGCGTGACGCCGTCGCAGGACTTATCACGGAGGTCATGGAGGGGCAGAATGGCAAGGTGATGAAGAAGAAGGCGCGGGAGTGGAGGGAGAAAGCGGTCAAGGCGACCAAGCCCGGCGGCTCGTCTCACCGCAACTTCGAAGAGTTGATCCATGAGGTGCTAGCTCCTACTCCTTGCCACTCTGCGTAAAGGAATAATGGTGTACCTGCTCCAATGTGTTCTTTTCTCAATCCCGGTTTTCAGAGGAGGCCGGAAAATCCCTTCTTTTGGAGGAGGCAGGAAGAAGCGGTTTTAAGAATATCTCGGTAATCTTAGTAATTACCGCCCAATAAAATGGAATAAATTTTGAATTCAAAAACCTTGGTGCCAAAAATAAATGTAATTAGCCCATAGTTTTGGAATTAGTAGTTCTTGTCCTGGTGACCCGCCCACTTTGTTACTTCCCACAAGTTGATTCTAACCCGGTACCGGGTGTATGGACGAAAATGGCCACTACCACCGCGCCAAGGCCTGTGAAGTAGCAACGATTGCATACACACACCTTATTTAAACCTATTCAGAGCTCAAATCAAAATTTGGTTGAAATTTGTTGGACGGTAACAGTAATTCTCAAAAGGGAATGCAAAAGCGGGAAACCAGACAGTTTTCGTAAATACCGACCGGTAAAAAAAACTGGACATGCTCCATGAGATAACTTATAAGGAGGACACACCATCGTGTTTTTAGCTACATCAGGGAGAGATGTGTGAGTGGGATTAATTATCCCGGTTTCAACGAGGTGTCAATGTTTTCGCTTAGCAATCCCATCTTGTTGG